GTCATTTAAATATTCTGCGGAATTATCTCCGTCATTTGAGAATAGAATCAAAATAGCGAATTATTAGAGCATTAAACTAATCTTATCAGAACTCACTTCAATAAGATATTTAGCGAAGATAAGTTTTGTAATCTTCATGAACTTCGAACAAGTGAATCTGATACAATCAACACAGTATAGATTTTAGTTTCTGTATTCTTATCTCTGAGTCATGCTGAAGTAATGCTCATTTAACTGTTATTCTAAATTTTGAAACTCGAGCAATTCAGTCTTCTCGCTTGAACCGTAAAGTATTCGAATCTTTCGAGGCTATAAAACAGGTACAGCTAAACAGACCGAACTCAGTTAGAATAATAAAAAGTAATAAAAAGTTCGAGATACTGTAAGAAGAAAACCAAAAATTATTTCCCTTCAAGTAACTTCATATTCGAGTCGATAAAAAATATCAATACAAAAATGACGTTTTAAAACCTCCACTTAAACTATCCGCCATTTAAATATTCTGCGGAATTATCTACCATTTGAATCTATCATTTGAATAGTAGAATCAAGATAGCAAATTGGTACACTGAAAAAAATTTCTGGTTGAATATGGACGAATCAGATAATTCCTTTAGGATTTACCAGAATTCCTGTAATCCTACAGAAATTCTGGTAAATCCTAAACGAATTCTGGTAAATCCTAAAGGAATTATCTGATTCGTCCATATTCAACCAGAAATTTTTTTTAGTGTAGTATTAAACTAATCTTATCAGACTTGAGAATATAAACTTACTTCTCTTTGCAATAAATATTATTTTTCTTTAAGCTTTACTTCATATCTGAATTATTATCTAAATATTCGGTTTATTGAAGATTGACCGAATAATTTGATCACATCGATTCCATATGAACTATCCGAGTTTGAATCTCTTGAACATTTCTACTTTAATTAATAAGAATTCTTCAATGTCGCCAGCGATAATTGTCAACGTCAGTGTTTTCTTGACCACACCTGGCATTTTTAATAATACCGAAAATTTATTGCGAAAAGTATTACCTCAGCCAGGGTTTGAACCCGGACCTCCCTACATTTCTACTTTACACTGTCCCATCGCGTGAATCGTCTTAATCCATATTTCATTTCTGTACTGGACACATAAAAAAAATAACAATGGTATAATCGATAGTTGGCATATAACAATATTAAATATCTGGAATCGAAGTGGCAAATTATTATCAATCAGTGACGATCGGGATAGCAAGAGAGGTAAGACATGGACGGAAGAGCGAGACGCGAGCCGCATCGCGATCGACATTGGCGGGCGTAGAACGGAGAGGAAAACGCGCGCGCACGCGAGAGGCAGGATGTGTGTGTGTGTGTGCATCCTACACCGGGACATTTCGAGAGTACTCGATGCATTGTCACTCGAGGCCTACCCTTGGTCCACCATCTAGGCGAATCGAAACAACCTCCTCGTCACGATATGTGTCGTCGCGCCAACTACATAGGTGTTGCATTCGTGTAGATCTGCAGATATACATATACAGACTCACGCACGTACGTTGGTACGCCTGCAGTTTTCTCATCTGATCAACGAACAATTCAATAATCGCACGTCGCGAGTATTTCAGCACTTTATCGCCGCGCGATAGCGCAATCTACGGCGTTTCGCGACTTATCGGGATAATTTCGAAATCCGAAACGAAACCCGCGGCTTTCGCGCATAATCGGGGCGATTGGAGAGAGTCATTTCGGTGTTATCGGGATGGAACGCAAGTTCCGGGAGTCGAGCCGCGGTGCCTCTCGACGTCGTGCACCAGATCACCCGGTACAAGCTCCGTGGGCACGCGTGCCTCCTATTACCTAACTCTCGCGTAGTCGGGCATACAGACGGCAGGATAGCCGGCCGGCGGGGCCGCGGCTCAGGCGTCCGCAGTTACGTATCTGGAAGCCCGCCGCCGGTTGGTCCGGGGCGGGTATAGGTACCGTATTATATACGTAGTGAGGGCTGGAGGGTCCTCACCGCCGCAACATTACGCTGATTGCCTGAATTATCCGCAACCAGCCTGCCTGTGCTCTCCGCTATGTACGATCCCGTATGTAGCCAGGCGGCCTGGTACATATGTGCCTTTCGCGTTCGCGTTTGCGTCTGTATGTACCATCTGGATGTATATACATGTGCACGTGTATATACGTGCCTCTACGTACGTAGAAACGCATACGCGCGCGACCCGTTTCCCTCCGGCCGCGCTCTCCGTCGACGTGGACCGGCTGCATAACGCATTCGCGAGCTGCGCGCGCGAACTCATATGTGCCTTGGTACCTGCAGCTCCTCTAGGTGTGCTTCGCGTATGTGCGCGCATACACGTGCGTGTACGAGCCTCTACGAACGCGCGCGTATGTATCGTCACGCCCGTAGGATGGTTCACGACGAGAAAATTGAAAACGGAGCTACGCGCGAGCGCGGAAGACGATAGCGCGATATATTCATGAAGGTGGAATAATGAATTGAGACGAGGTATACGCACATACCTCCTGCATCCTCGATGCTGATGCCGCGCGGCATGCGCGTTATCTGCCGTACCGGCAAACCGCCGCGAATCGATCGCTTTATTTTTCAGCACGGTGCGACGTGCCGAGAAATTCAATTCCTGATAGCATCGCAGAACTTCAAACAAATTATTTAGTTTAGCTGTTAATATTAGTTGGACGTTTCATCTCCTTGTAGCATCCGGGCCTTTTTTTTCCATTTAGTACAACAGGATCGTTTGCTTTCTTTCAATTTAAGTCTCTGATTAATTAACAGAGAAAAGACTAAATTGTACTATCGCTTTAAGATGGACATTAACAGAAATGCAAAATTTATACGTTGTCGAAAGCGAAGGAATAGCGAAAGATGGATAGATGACCCTAGCCATGAATTCGACTATAGCGTAAACTTGCAACAGAATGACGAAAGGGACGGAAGGGCAAGGAAGGGTTAAGGACGCGTATCATGCCGTTTGATTAATGTACTTCACCCGTACATATCCGCCTACCTCTGGGCGATCCTGCCTACACGCGGATAGCTCGGACACTCTCGTCATTTGTTAGTTACGCCACAGGGCGAAGCAACATATGTACATGGCAGCAACAAAACGTGGCGAAGCGCTATAGCGTGTGCGAGAATTAGTGACAGCGAAAGAGATAAAAATTTACCACAATTACGATATTTCTCTTGCAATAAATTGCATGAGTTTTGTCCGGAAAAAATTAGATAAGTCTAATTTTTTAACTAAACGACTATTCGATATGGACTAAGATAATGGAAATACGCAACTGATATGTAGGACAAAAGGTAGACTTTAATTCCTAAGGTGCAGATTTTAAGATATAATTATCTGAGAATGCATTTGTCATGTTAACGGTACAAGAACAATTTCGGTCGGTCTTTGCTCGCAATTAATCTGATAAATTGCAAGGGCACATTTTTTACACATGACGTCTTATACTTATACTTACACATACGTCTTATATTTCGTCACATGCATTTCGTCGCGGCAGGAGATATGTCAGTATCTGAAAAGAATCTAGATAAGAAATTAATGCTCTTTCAAAGTTTCGTTGATTATTATAATGGTTAGGAATATACGCGACCGTCACACCGTCATACTCAATCAATGTAAGTTTTATCAGACGAGAGCTGGACCTTACACCAAGGCGAACAGATCACGTGATATAAAAGGTATGTACGTCAGCGTCAATTTCAATGATAAGTAAGTGAAAGAAAAAAAGAAGCTCTTACTCATTATTTCCTGACTGAGACCATATAAAACTTTTTAGAGTATTGTGATAAAATCACTTGTATATTCCACACCCCTCCCCCCCCCATGAGTGAGTGACAAAATGAGAGAGAGGGGGGGGATTTTTGTAGTTAGACATTTTTCCTTCTCCGATCAGAAGGAATTAACTTCAAGTGTTGTAAACTTATCCGTCTTATTAACATTAATTTCAAGATTGCATATATGTAATTTAATGGCATAATGCACAACTTTGATATGAAAAATAATCATTACGTGCAGAACAAATGAAAGCAATGACTAATTATTTTAATTGTTATATGTACTTCGGTCCCACATTAAAACGTCCAACTGGTATTGCATCACTCCTTAAATGAGTTTATTTATTTATTTTTATATCAAATGCAACACCAGTTGTGCGTACCTTAAAAACATCATCACCAAAGAATCAAATATTTTTACCCAAAACGTTAATGTCTTCGATAATCCAAAGTTATATCAAATGCGAAAATTTCTGTACGCGCAAATGGCAATGTAATCTAATTAGCTCAAAACGTAATGTCATAAAAGAAACCTACTGTTTTCTTATTTAACAGCATTATAACTACGAATAAAACATTTCTATTCAATTTCCGAACTCGCACTCAAATGCACATTTTTAATTGGACAGTCGACTTATCTTTGCATTGTCTTCTTTAAATATACAATTTCTGTAGAACAGACGATAGTGTTTCAATACTATTGTCATTCATATCAATATTATTGAACACAATTAAACAATTTCGATTTTTGAGCGACCTTCCAGTGTCCAACAATCAGCAGCTCTAGTATTAACTTAGAAAGCATTAATGATAAAACGTTTTACGAGTTCCGACTGCTATCTAACCGAAATTCATGCTCAAGGTGATGCCTTATTAACTTATTACATATCTTTTATCAATAATAAATATAAGTCATGCTTGATTGAAATCAAATTAAATGATAAGGACAGTATGATACAGAATTTAGTTTTCAATCCCAATTTCTTTATGTCGTATATTCTAAGTTATCGATGTATAATCGACACTGTAATTGTATAAAGGATATTCCTCATTTGTGGCCTAAAACAAGCGTATCTTGATGTAAGAATTCTGCGAAATAATGTGACTAATAATCTCCTTTTTCAACGAGGGAAATCTTTGATAGATATCTTCGATAGATATCTGGCCTTGTATTTCACGATAAGACGATGCACATTTATAAAAGCCGGTCCGCCTGATTTCGGCCGGTCACCTATTTAAACGAATCCGAGCGGTGTTGACAGGACGGACGATACGCTTCTTCAGTTCTGTTTGAATCGAGGATAGGCGATGAAGGGTGAGTGTTACAAAATTTCTATAATAAAGCCATCGATTAAAATAAAACGATATTTACACGCTGTATGCTGGAAATTTTTTACAATTCCAATTTATATAAATAATTGACACCTATGCGGTTGTGCCATAAATGTCTATTCGATCACGAGTCGATCGTATCGCAACTAACATTTTAATAACGTCAGTGTTTTCTTGACCATACCTGGCATTTTTAATAATACAGAAAATTTGTTGCGAAAAACATTACCTCAACCAGGGTTTGAACCTGGACCTCCCTACACTCTAGGCGGGCGTCCCACCAATTCGACCACCGAGGCATATAATAAAAGACAATAAAAATATGCCTTGATAGTCGAATTGGTGAGACGCCCGCCTAGAGTGTAGGGAGGTCCAGGTTCAAACCCTGACTGAAGTAATATTTTTCGCAATAAATTTTCTGTATTATTAAAAATGCCCGGTATGGTCAAGAAAACACTGCCGTTGTTAATTACCGCTGGCGACATTGAAGAATTCTTATTAGTTAACATTCTAATGGTGTGATTTTCGCTGCATAGGAATATACGTAATTGCCATCGCCTTTCTGGCATCGTGGACCGTGAGCGCCGCAAAAGTTGGTCAACTTGCGGTATCTCAATTGAGGGACGATTATTGCACGGTAGTTACCACAGTATGCCCATACCCAGAACGATGTCCAGACAACACTACGACCAACCTCCCGCATGAAACCGATTGCACATTGTTTTACAAATGCGACACTGGCAAAGGAGTAGTGCAAAAATGTCCCCTGATGACCGAGGGAGATCCAGTGACGAGACTGCACTACAATAGACAACTGCAGGTCTGCGATTGGCCATGGCAGGCCGGTTGCGAGAGTTGCCCCCGAAGAAACCGAGACGGGACATATCCGCCGACGTCTAGAATAAGTTACCCAAACAACAACTGCGGTCAATACTATGAGTGCATAAATGGTGTACCATCGTTGCGTACCTGTCCAAGCGGTACGTGTTTCAGTCGCACATGTCAGGAGTGCGTTGGGAACAGAGAGGGTGGAAACTGCGGTTGGGGTCCAACCATTCCTACTTCAACTCCTCCAATTTGCACTAATCCTCCAGGAAACAACGGCGATTTAAGATCTCACGAATGTGACTGCGGCAAGTACTATACGTGTACTAGTGGTTTGGGTTGGACCAGTACAGACTGCCAAGGTGGTCTACATTTTAGCCCCACAAGAAAAGTCTGCGTACCACCGAACGAAGCTGGTTGCTTGCAATAAAAAAGTATCAAAAATACCTGGCGAATTTTTCGAAACTTGTTCTCAAAAACATATATTTGTGCATAGGTGACCATCGATTTCGGAAGATACTAAGTTAAAAGTAGTGACTGGTACCAAGAAAAAATTGCTTCATTAAAACTATTATTGTTATATTATATTTGTACTAGATTAGTTCCCTAAGATATTTTAATAAATCTGACAATATGTATGATCGTCTCCTTGCAATTTCTCTGTCAATGTCATCCTCGTCACACAATAACCCCCCTCCCCCCCTTCCACACACATACATACGCGCACACACTTCGCTCTTCCGCCACTTTCAATACACAGATAAAAAACTTATGATAAAAATAATCTTACTTGATAATCTATAGAAAAATAAGTCGAAGGATGCGAATTATCGCTCGCATATAATCATAATGCCAGCAGATACAGATACAGAGCGTCACGTTATCAGCGCAAATTGTAAAAAAAAATAAATCCAAATTCCTTCCTCCAATTTCTAGTCGCATACTTGGAATCTTATCCCGTCTGCCAAGGCAGACACATGGACGGAGTTTCGCAATGCGTGCGTAAGAATTTGCGTAAAATCGTGAAAGACAAAATCAACGAGACTCACAAAAAGCAGAGAAATACCGGCGACATTTCCGGTGACACAGTGACACGGAGCCTATCAGCCGAAACCCTCCATTCGGCGGTCGTTCCTGATAAATAGAACGGTACCGGGAACAGTGTCGCGAGTCCCGACAATGGGCCGCCGGAAGACCGGGGCAGCTTTAATTTCCCCCCGTAGTTCCTGGCAATTACCGCGCGGCGCGACCCGATAGCCATCTCTATCTCCGACCACAATGCCGCCAGTTCCGACGCACCCCGTTCCTTGCCACCTTGCCAGCGATTTACTTCCCTCCTCGCCCACGGAACACCGTCGACCTTCAACGATTTTTCTTGTCCCGACGTGATACATGAGCTGTCCGATGTCCCTACAACCGATTGGACGAGATCGCAAATTATTGATGAAAAGAATCTAGATATATCTCCCAAAAATATCTCCACAGAATATCGAGAAATTATATTCTACAATTTTCACGTGGTGTCCTTGTTAATCGTCATAATATCCATTGTCAGAAATATCCATTGCAGACACGTCACAGATGAAAAGGACTAATCCTATAGTTAGCAGCGGGGGAACTTGCAATGATTGAAGTAAAAATCTATAAATTATTTTCTCGGCCGTCGAAGCATCTGCAGTAATCTTTTTTTCCTCACTTGTAGGAGATATATGTAGCGTCTTTGATATAACATTCGTATCGCGCGATTAATTTCTTCCGAAGCCGTTACTTATTTATGGAAGAGAAACACGTGCGAAGCGGTACGCCCGAAAGTCGAGTCGGGTGTTTAACAACTCGCGGCCAAACTTCTTCGAGGAGCTCGTAAATGGTGCGGGACGATTGGAGCGCGACTGCTTAAGTTCGGTCACCGGGGAAAGAAGAAGAAGAAGAAGGAAAGGGTGCGCGACAGCGGGTAAATCCCCCCCCCCTCTCTCTCTCTCTCTCTCTCTCTCTCTCTTT